GCACATCACTGCTGCAGAGACATCTCTTTATTGTCGTGTTCTGCGGGTGGAGATGGCAGACCATGTGTGGTGGTGGGTTTCAGGAGGCAGAAGAGCAGGCAGACGGATGAAAAAATAAAAAGATGTTTAATTGTAGACTGGGAGCAACAGGACGAACAAACATGCACAAACAACAATGAACCAACAAAGACAGCAACAAGGAGGGAGGTATAAATACACAAGGGAATCAGGAACACATGGGCAGAGTAATCAGGGACAGGTGAGAACAATTAGGCTAATCAGGGCAGGAGAGACACAGTCAGGGAGGCCGGGGCGGATCATGACAGTACCCCCCCCCCAAGGGGCGGATACCAGACGCCCACAAGCCACAGAGCACAGGAGACACAGGGACGAACGAAGACCAGACTAGGACACACATGACCAGGGAACACAGAAGATGAGACCAGGGAACAAACACAGTCCGGGGCTGCGGAGCAGGGGCCTCTAAGATCAGGCGGCACTCCGTCTTACGACCAACAGACGTTTCCTCGAACTCAGACCAGGGACGCGGAGCAGGGGCCTCTCAGATCAGGCGGCACTCCGTCTTACAAAGGGTCTCTCGAGCTCGGACTGGGAAACCCGGACTCGAACCAAAGACTCGGGAACAGGGGACTCGGACGCTTGGACTTGGACTCGGACACTTGGACACTTGGACTTGGACACTTGGACACTTGGACTCGGACACTTGGACTCGGACACTTGGACTCGGACTCGGACACTTGGACTCGGACACTTGGACTCGGACTCGTACACTTGGACTCGGACACTTGGACTTGATGGAGTGTACAGTCGGTAAAGACGGCTCTCCCTTGCCCTGACTCCAGCATGCCTCCATCTAAAAAGAATAGATTATCCAGAGTTATCTCTGTAGTTATGCTGCTATAGGCTTAGACTGCTGGAGGATACTGACCACTTTCCACACTCTACTGCTTTCTTCTACAATCTGCTCTTTAACTGTATTATTTCCTGCTATTTCAGCTGTTTACTTTATTTTCTCTCTAAGTGTTTTTCTCCCCAGAAGAAGCTACGATGATGTTCTGCTGAGCTGTGGTGGCCTCATGGAGGGGGCCATCGATAATAACATTGATAATGATGATAATAACATTTTACTTTCTCCGACATCGATTGTGCTACTACTACTTTACCCATTTAATTATAGATTCACTCAATAAAGTTTATCTCAACCCAAATAGAATGTTTACTAAGAAATCACAATGTAACCATAGAAACATTAATTGGTCTGTGTGTGTGTGTGTGTGTGTGTGTGTGTGTGTGTGTGTGTGTGTGTGTGTGTGTGTGTGTGTGTGTGTGTGTGTGTGTGTGTGTGTGTGTGTGTGCGTGCGCGCGCGCTCTGTCTTCTCCATCCCCAGTGAGTCATGGTGGATGGCTGCTTATACTGAGCCAGGATCTTCTGGAGGTTTCTTCCTGTTAAAAGGGAGTTTTCCTCTCCACTGTCGCTGCATGCATGCTTACTATGAGTATTGCTGTAAAGACTCTGACACTAGTCAGTGACTCGATGCTATTTGCTGGGTTCCTTATATAGGAAACTTTTTTCTGATTGGCTTAATGAACTGAACGAACTAATCCTAACCCTAACCCATAAATAAACTTGAATTGAGTTGAACGTTTTCAGGTAGATTTTATTGTTTCTTTGACCAACATTTATGCTCATGAAGCACAAACCCATCCCATAATTATCATATTTGTAAAACATTATCTTTATTAATTAAAGTTTATTTACTAATAAAATTATAATCAGACGTTGGCTGAGTTTTTTTTAAATAAGAGCTGCCTTCAGGTTGCCTAGAAGGGTAACAAAATATTGACCACTAGAGGGCAGCAGAACATATCTTATATATAATAATAACAACAACAATGGTTAGGGGTGACCAAACTTCAAGAGGTGGGCAACATTGCCGTGTTAAAAGTCTTCAGTGAACCAACAAATGTTTCCCATTTTTAAAAACAATTATGGATGAATGTTTTATTTATTTATTTGTGCCACTTACAAAATGGTTAAAAGCATCAGCCTCCTGCTGCAGGCAGTTTTCATTAGAGATGCAAAGGGAGCTCGACAAAATCACTCCATTGGCGCAGATGGCCCATAGGCTGCACTTTGGACCCCCCCCCCCCCCCCCCCCTAGATTAAACTACATGAAAATGTTTTTTTTCTGTAAATTCTGATGTTTTTTGTGACAGAGTTAGGTTAGGTTAATCCTAAATCCATCGGTCACCCTCATTGGTTTATTTTTTGTGGCGACAAAAGATTTGAAGGTCAACTTCACTGAATAAAAACTTTTTAAATCATTATTCCTGATGAAAATCGATCGCTCTGAGTGTTTCATGTGGGCAGAATGTGAATGTGGTCTCCTACAGTCAGGGCCGGCTCTGGGTAATTTGGTGCCCAAGGCGAGAGTGCCCATTTGCGCCCCCCGCCTCTAACCCAAACCCAAGTCCACAC